CGCGCGGGCCCCCCCCCCCCCCCCCTCCCCCCCACACCCGTAAAGCAATGAAGCGCCTCACCTACGACATGTGGTTCTGCTGAGAGGCCACGTTCTGCTGTTGCTGCTGCTGCATGAGGATCTGCTGCTGCTGGCGCCGCCGGGCCGTACGGAGCTTCTCGAAGCGAGCCTCCATCTCCTCCAGCACTTTGGGGGTGTAGCGCACCACCAGCTTCACACTGTCCTTGGCCGCCTTCAGCAGCTCCACCGCTTTCTCGTGGTGCTCGCCTTCCACGCTCTGCAGGGGGTTTAGAGATGGAAAGAGCGGAAGCTTAAACGAAGCTCATTTGAATATAGGTTTAATTATAGTAGCTCCTCTTTGAAAAAATGAAAAGAATATTTCCTCCATTTTTAATATACGGTGATATTATGTGAAAGCGAGAAGGCCCTCTTGCTGTTGGAGAAGTGTTTCAGCTCCTTACTCCAGTCATGTACAGCACTTTGATCTCAACAGCTCTCCTGAATGTTGACTCACATATCAAACTGGAAATTAAATATTGCTTAATTTTGTGAGAAGTTGCTAAAAATTCCATCATGGATGTATTTTTTTGAAAGCCGCCCTCAACAATAAATAAGGACGAAAAAGCGTATATCTGCATTCTCCCTCCAAACCATATGTTGCGTGTCAAAATGTAAGTGTGGTCAGACCTACCACACCGTTGACGGACAGGAGCTGATCCCCTCGCTTTAGGCCGCCGTGCCTCTCAGCCACGCCTGCGGGGATGATGCGGGAGATGTAGATGGGCGAGTTCTGCTCCTTGCCGCCCATCACGTTGAAGCCCAGCCCTTCCTCCGTCTTGGGTAGCTCCACCACTCGCGGGTGGGAGTGACCTTCGCTGGCTGCGAAGGCTGCAACTGTTGCCTGAAGGAAGAGAAGCAGGATGGGATTTGTTCACGACTAATTATCCCCAAAACCTTGAAAAACTATATCTGTATGTGCATATTAATCTTGAGACTTTATAGAGTGTACACAAGGTGTAACACGGGGCTGAATTGGACAGAATTTCTGCAAAAGAAGAGTGCAAAGAAAATGGGTAATTTTGTTCACTGAGTTGAGTTTCTCTGCAGCACTTCCTCTTCATACTGCACATTACCTGTCTCCATCAGTAGAAATGGTAGAGCCCAAACCACAGGCCGCAATCTAATCTTAACCTCTGCATCCGAAAACATTTGATTAGTACAGCTTGTTGGGTGAACTAGTGAAAACAATTGACAGATAGAAATATACATTTATTATAAAGACTATTAGATGCGGTTGAAAGCTCCAAAAGTATGACCCCTTTTGTTACAAATGCAGTTCCAAAAGGTCAGAATGAACTCCGATGCTCAAATATATTTATCATCCTTGGAAAAGCAAGAGGAGACCTTTAAAACAAAACAAAAAAGCATTTGAAACAACAGGCTTTATGGGAAATCCTACTTTTGAGGAGGATTTGAATGCAACAGAGGAAACCAATTTTAAAAGTACTACAAAGTGATCGAGAAGGTGGGTTTACAATGTGAACTTCTGTTGCATCTGCTGCAACAAAGCGTTAGGATTTAGTCAGGGCCGGGGATTTCCACTCCATGAGAAGTTCTCCGGCTTTCTAAGCACATGGATTAACACATCCAAGTCCACACTGGAGGAGCAGCCAGACAACTTTCCCCCTCTGTATCTCTACCAGCTGGTTCACGTTGCTCGCTGGGCTGTTGGTTTTTTTTTTCTTTGAACCCAGAGCTCCTTGCTCCTCGTTCAGAACAAAGCACCCAGGAGCTTGTTAGCCGAGGCTGGGAAAGCTAATGGCAGACGAACAAGAGAGCGAGACACCCCGTGCCCACTGATGCACAGATTCATTGCCAAAGGGGCCTCGCTGTCAAGTCGGCGTCATCTATGATATGTGAGGTACATCGAGAAGAGAGAGGATAAAAAAAAGTGGAGGGAGGGGAGATTCTGTCAGAAGCTTTTGCAGATGTGTATCCAAATTCCCCAGCAGCAGGCAAGTGTCTTGGCACTTTGAGGTCTTTGACGCTCCCCATCTCTGCTCTCTCTCTCTCTCTTACATATTCATCTTCATATCTATGTTCCTGCTCAAACTGTTTTGCTCATTTCTCTTTCCCTGCCTGTTTTAATTTGGTTGTTGTATTCTAGCAACTTCCCCTCTCCCTCTCTGTTTTCTCTCCCTGTGTCCTCCTTCTTCTCCTCCTCTGCTCCTCCCTCCCTCCCTCCCTCCCCGTCCCAGTGTGAAGCTAAAAGGCAGCTCCTCAGCATGCATACCGTCTCCTCACCAGGCCCTCCCAGCACATCGACCTTCCCAAGTTTATCTAGATTTCCCGCGAACAAAAAAGCAATGTGGCTGATGGCCGGCGCCTCTCAAACACACGAGGCATTTCAAATGAAAAGCTTGCTGGGAGATACATTCTCCATAACAACTCTGTACAGTGTAAGTATGACTTAATACATCCAAAGCCAATTGATCATCAGCCCCCATTACAGCCCTGATAGTCCCTGTCTCCATTAAGATCAGTAATAAAGGCCCCGGGCCAGGAATTAGAGGCTGAATTGATTTAATTAATGGAGCAATCAAAGAGAATCGAGTTGTTCAGGTGAAACACAAATCTCAACCGTCGAGAGATTCACCATCTCACTGAGTTAAGTGGTCGAGAAGTGTCTGCATCTTTCCCATGCTTTGCCCCTTTCAGAATACACGTGTGGTACTAATTGAATGCAATTAGCACTGTGGCCTGACTTTGTGAATATTGTGACAGAGTAAAAAAAACTTCCATTGCTCCCAGTTGAGAGTGCCCCCACCGCTAAGCCAGCACAGGCCATTAGCTGTGTGCTTAATTGCCCAGTGGACATGCATTTGTAATACAGATTTAGGAGCAGTAGCTTCTTAAAGTTTGGGGCAAAGAGAGAAAAGTAGGAAGAAGTTTTAAAGCTGCTTAAATCTTGTCATTATGGACGTTTCGGGCTTAGAAAAAAGACGCTTTTGTCAGGATCCCTGTCAGACCAGACACCTCCCATGGCCACACAGCTGCAGCCACTCCAGCCGATTACCTCCTGCAGGCTGACACACCAGACTCAGGTCCCACTAACGCTTTCCCTGGCACTATATAAACTCTGGTCCTGCAGTCTGGGGTTGTCAGGTCGTACCGTCTTTCACCCGCTTCAACCCCGTTGCAGCTTCTGCCTCAAGCGCCTGCCGCCGGTGTCCGTCGGTCCGGGAATCCCCCGTGCCCTCCTTTGTGTTTACGGACTACTCACCGCCGCTCTGCCCTCTGTTGTGTTAACGGACTACTCACGCCGTCAAGCTGCCAGCTCTCCGGTGTCGAGCCACGGGACTCACACCGTCGATCTGCCTACTCTC